CTGCTGTTAAGGTACCCAAGTTGTCAAACTTGAAAACTATTCTGGCCACACAGGAAACACAAAAGCTGAAAGGAAAGACCCAGTATAAAGCAACGTAAGAATGCTGTGGCAGGACCACACCCCAACACACACCACTGCTGCTGTGTGCCTCAGGAAGACACATTTTTAATGTATCATAGGTTGTTTTATCCAAATCTGGAAGTGAGCTGTTAAAAATCATCTCTCCTTGGTTATCTCATACTGTAAAATTACCAAAATTCTAAAAAGCCTAAATATCTGCCACTGCAGGTAGCTACCTACAAGATACGTAGAAGGGAAAGAAAAAAGAATGTGCACTGATAAGTAGGTGCCAGGACCAAAGCCTACTGACATCAGAAAGGCTCTGACAGGGTTTGATGGTTTGGACAAGACCTGAAAGAAGTTCCCAGATTCATTAAGAGCTGGACAAATGAATAATCCAATCTTGACTTTAAACCACTCAGAGTTGTTTTAAAACAAAAAGTACTTCAGAAGACAGCACTAAGTGTTTTTTACACTTGTTACCTTCCTTCTTGTCCAGTTGTTCTCTATCAGAAAATATCTGCAATTGTACACAATGCTTTTCTGCAAACCCTACAGCTTTTAGAGCACTGAAGATGAGTAAAAGCTGGCAGGAAGAGGAGGTAGGGAGTGGCAAATAGCAATTTTGTGCTGTGAGTGCAGTGGGTGGTAGGACACCAGAGAAAAGGAAGATTAGTGGAGAACAAAAATCAAAAGCTTCTTTCCTATTAAAATCCATATGGCTATACACTGGTATTGAATCTGAAAACACACACTTGTTCTCCTGCTGCACATAGTAACTTCAGGATGACAAAGCCCAGGCTGGGTGAAGCCTCCCACTGCCCTTGGAGAAGTTCATGAGTGGTTTCAACAACCAAATAGTGCAAGGTAGTACAAGTGACACAAAGAAAAGTTACTTCACATCATGCTGCTGCAGTGGAGGCACCAAAATTCTCCATCAACCACAAATAAAAATACTTCTGGCCCTCTTCCTGAAAGTGAGAAGAGGCTCCAACGTGTCCATGATACACCACCCGCTGCTTGTGTCGGCCCTGCAATCCACACTCCCCCCAAGTTAGACCTGTTTTACCCCTTGTTAGAGCAATTTAATCCCCCAAAGTTCAAGCTTCCTAAGGGAAAGTGGGGAATGACTCTGCCTGCATCATAGCTCGATGTTTATGTAGAGGGCTATTTTAGTACAGTGAATTAAGAGCAGTCAGGAACACAGCGAACCGGTGACGAGCTGGCATGGATTTGTGGAAAGTTACACAAATTCAGTTACACAAGTTTTGCCTGGCCTGAACTATCCCCGTTTTATAAATAGATAAAGCAAGAAGGTTAGGCAATTTGCCCAGGATCAATTAGCAAGTCCTGAACAAGTTGGTGAAATCTCAATCTACTTCAACTGCTTGGCAGCAGGGCCTGCCCAGGCCATGGCAGGCACTTGGAGCCTCTCGGAGCGCTAATAATCCCCAGATTTAAATCCTGAAGATATCATGTTATTGTCTCCACAACCAAAAACTTCCACATGTGGAGGGGCATATGCCTTTCAGCCTTCTTGATTCTTCACCTTCAATCATGGAGGGGTGGGTGACAGTATTATTTAACATCCCAGTGGATAAAGTCAGGGAAAAAAAGATTCAGTCTGCATTCAGCCTCAGTGAGATGCTCATATCATGACATGGTTGAAGCGTAGCTTGTATTGAGCAACCCTCGTGCACCCTGGGAGAGCTTCCCCTCAACCTTTCCCATCCCTCTCCAGTCTATGAAGACATTCACTTCATTCCACAATAATTTATAGGCCCTGCACTGTTAAATAAACTGACAAATGCTAAGCTTTGCTTACTCCTGGTTTCTGCAGCAATATTGGGGCTGATGCAGTTTATGTTGACAGAGTGTTTTTACTGGTGCAGCTTTTAAGCTCCAGAGAGCCAATAAATGCCAAGGCAAAGAGGTTTTATGCTCTGATTAAAAGAAATGAAATGATTGTCATGGAGAGGCTGGAACACAAAAGAACATGGCTATCTCAACTTACACTGCAACCACCGTCAGCACCGAACAATGGTTGAGTCCTGCTCTCTCCAGAACACAGATTAATTCAGTGTGCAGGAAAACACTTCAAACAGAGAAAGAGATACTCTGAATTGTAACGGGCTCTGAAAACTTGGTGCCAAGCCACAAAACCAAGCCAGTGCCCTTGGGGAAAAAATATTAAGATAGAAGCAAGCAGCCTGAGTTTAGGTCTCACTGGTCAGCTGGGTCTGTTAAAGGCAATTTTCTCCTTGGTTCAGTGCATGCACATTTTGAAAGCAAAAGGAGCTACATAGTTAAAAATAGACAGAGCCATGAGTAAAAATACCAAGTCCCAGGACCTGGGGAGGAGTTTGAAGCTGGGAATTAGTGCAGGCCACTAGAGGAATTTTTAGCATTCCCACTTCCAGCAAATACCCCCAAGGTCACAGATTTCTCCTCCATCTCTTTACCTGCACCTGCCTCAGCTCACAGTGCTCCCATACTGGTTTTTACATTGGATGCACAACTGCCAATTCAGAAATACAGACAAACTGAGAAGCATCAGAGACATCATCAAGTTGCTTTTTCTGCTCAGCCTTAACAGCCCAAATTAACAAAAGAGGCTTTAATTTTCACTGGTTAGAACTGTATAATCCTGCAGCAAAATTACTGCCATGAGTTCTATACAGTGAAAATCTCCAGTAATTAAATTCACTGGCACGTTGTGGAGGAACAGCCTGGCAGTGAGGCTTCCACCACTACAGGGATGAGCATTTTTTTCTAAACCTTGAAAGCACCTTTGCTTTTTTTTCCTCAAAAGATTTCCAGTTCGAGATTTATATTCCTCGTTTACATTCAAGAATTATATTTCTTCTGAGACAAGAAATAGGAATTGTGTCAAGCAGTAGGAAACACACAGGAACACAAGGTCACCAGGGTGAAACATTGAATAAGACCTTCCTAACAACTGCTCACAGGCAGTTTGGATAGAGGAATGGCAAAAGGGAAAAGAGTAATTATAAATTTCCTGTACATCCAACCAGCTCCTTGCAGGGAGGTGCCCCACTCATTCTAACCCTGAGGCTTCATTCCACAGCTGATCAATCTTTCTTTTTTCTCCTTGTGGTGTAACTTTCCAGTGAAACTTAAACATGTTTGTTTCATGGGAATGCAGTGATGTCATCCAGCTCATAACTGAAGCACTCAACAATCAGCAGAATTATTCATAATATGCATTAACATCATTATCAAAGGCAAGTGCTTTGATCTCGCTGAAACAAATCTCACTTTACTGGGATTGGTTTGCTTCCAGCGTTTTTTCCTCCTCAAAAAAATTCACAAGCAATTTTGCTATTTCATCCTGGGTCAGGAAGAAAGGAAGCTTAAGTGTCAGAAATTCCCACAGAAACAGAATCTCATGTTAGACCAGGTCAGGCTCTTCTCTATTATTCATTCAGTTATTTTCATTTCTTTCAAGTCATCAGTTGCCCTCACAGAAAGTGTTTCCTGCCACTGCAATGAACTTGCTGACCTTGGTTTGGTTTAGCTCTGCTGTGGCTGATGAAAGGTGACGAGTTGGCCCTTCTGCATTCCAAAGAAAGAATTCTAAAGAGGGAACTTTGCACATCTCCCAACACTGCTTTCACAGGACATGCAGAGATGGGTTTCATCATTTAAATGTTGCACACATAGATCACCAGCAGTTCAGTCCAGGGGAATATGTACAAATCACAGATAAAACAAATCCTCCGAAACTCGCACAACTAAGACTGTCACCCTTAAAGCTACTTATTAACTAAAAATTATTCAGCAGACAAAATACGTAACAGGTACCTATTACCAGTGAGTCTTAATTAACAAAAAGTCAAACCCTTGTGGAAGAGAAACACAAGCAGCTTTCTCTAGGCTGGCAGAAACACTTGGAGGAACAGTGATTTGCAGCCTCTCCCAGAACATAATCTAAAACTCTGTGCAATTACAGGGAAAAAAACCCTGTAGGATTTCGTTGTGTTGTATAAAGTTTGCTCCTTTGAGCATTTTAGAAGCCACTCCCTACCCTCCATCAACTGCCACACAATTATTTACACCTCATTAGAAATATAACAGCAGACATTAAGCGCACTGGGAGACTTAAGCGGAAGACAAAGCAACCTCAACTTTTAAACAGAAATAGGTGTTATGTCCTATAAAAGCACTTATTGTCTTCTGCAAAGAGAGCAGAGCTACCTATAAAAGACTGCATGGCAACTTGCTCTGCTTTCTGGTGGAAAAACTACACTTTTCATTCCAAGAAGCAAAGCCAAGCATAGATATTCCAAAGGAATACACAATGCAACAGACATTTCTCCCCGACACAACACTCACTGCCACACAGCTGCCAGGCCCTGTCCCTCAACCCCCAGCACACAATGGCTCGACCCACTGCCCTGTCTCCACCAGAAGGACAGGGGACTAGAGAAGAGACCTTGTAACACATAGATATGGCTCTTCCCAATTAAATATGGGATTGAAAATGTTAAAACGTACAAGGATGTTTGCCAAGATGTCAGGACCAGATATGAGCTCTGCCCTCCAGCTGGAGGTGACACACAGACGGGAAAGGCACTACAAGATCCATGGGAAGAAGAGCACATAGGAAGAAGAAGTCCTGAGGGAAAGGACAGTTGGAGAGGAACTGTAGTCAGGGCAGGAAAACAGCTGACTTGGAAGAGGAGGAAAAATAAATCTCACAGGTTCTAAATGTACTCTCCAAAAATCTTCTTACTTAAGAGTCTGCAATAATAATAAAATCACAGAACAATTTTGGTTGGAAGGAACCAAGTCCAAGATTCCTGCAGTAAGCAGGGACACCTTCAACCAGAACAGGCTGCTCAGAGCCCTGTTGAACCTTGCCTTGAATGTTTCCAAGGATGGGGCCTAACTTTTGATTTCTGGAAAGAAAAGTGAAGTCTGTAGGAACATGTATGAAACAAAAGATGAGTAGGGAGTTACAGGGGGAAAACACCACACAACACACTTTTCCACAGACACATGATCCACCTGTACCAAGGACTGTTTCCAACACACCTGTGTGGACGCAGCTCATGACAGCCCTGACTGCAGCACATCTGTATTAGCTAAAGCAACTGTCTTCAGTTTTCCCTGCCCTGTCACTCAGCTTGCACAACTGCTTCCAAGACTTCTAAGCTCACCTCAGTTTCAGCTGGGTCAGGGCACCCAGTTAAACACCCACTCTGCCATCCAGATCAACTGCAGGAACCAGTGAGCAAAATGAGAAGTCTGACCAGCAGATCTTTATGTAACTCACTTTTACTACAAAATACACCAATTTCCTTCTGATCCACCCTTCACCTCTTTGGAAAACCACTTTACATGTCAATAATAAATCAGTGAGCTCTGTGCACTCCACTTCCAAGCCTATAAAGGTGCTATTTTCAAAATCTGACTAGCTTATGCCAAGAATTTTATCTGATCTATTGATTCTGAGCA